CCATCCGGAAGGGTTCTGTCGCGGCAAAGTCAAAGACCATCTCCCCTGATTACGCTATGACTGAATAAACATATATTAATGTCTAAAACTTCATAACTCGCATTTAATAAAGTTGTAAGCAAATCAGTCCATTAAAAAGCCTCACTAATCCACATCTTAAGAATATTTCTCCTAAGAATCGAAATTAGTAATAGCGCGACGAAAAGACAAATCAATTTTGACCGAAAAGTCGGAACATTGAAAAATCGCAACACACTTCCGGGTAGAAGATCTTTGGCGATAAAATAAATACATTTAACTTATAGAGATTTGTTATTCCTTTTTTTTTTCCGTATCAAAGTGGCAAAAGACACTCGGTGCTGTTAATTTGCAAATTCATGGCGATGGCCTTGAGCAACGGAGAGATAAAGGAGGGCTTTGAGAATTAATTCTGACCACTTCATCAAGCTTACGCTGCGAACTGAGAAAAAGGCGCACTTCGACGATTGCCGCGGCGGTAACAAAAAGAGAGAAACGCACACGACACACTTTCTGATATTGTATTCATACGCAATATCACACTCATGTTTGGATCCGCTGTTTACATTTTCGTTTGTGTTGTATGTTCCTCGCCATTGGGTGAAAAAAACTGGGCAATAGCAGGGTCATTACAGTAACACAAACAGAAGGAGGTCATGGCGAATTAAGATTACNTACATTTTCGTTTGTGTTGTATGTTCCTCGCCATTGGGTGAAAAAAACTGGGCAATAGCAGGGTCATTACAGTAACACAAACAGAAGGAGGTCATGGCGAATTAAGATTACTTTTTTTACTCCAAGAGAGAGGTTTAGATTATGCCAGTGTTTAAGTCTCGGTGTTCGGGGTTATCCAATGATTTAAAAAAAAATCACGATATTTTTAATGCTTAAATCGTTTTTCTCATTGCGCACAGACCGAAGAAAAAGCGTAATTTAAATTTGCAAAAATAAGGGACGCGGTTTCAAGTTAATTTTTGCGCGTTCAGTTGTTCGATTGCTTACAGACCTTACAGCAAGAAAAATGCATAAGACTTATTTATTCTTACCTGGGTTAAAAAGAACTAGCGCCTTC